CAATGAATTTGTTAATTTTCGTTTACTAAACCAAATTAGTTGCAACATCTTAAGAAACACACTCCGTATGAAGCCAAAGAAGAAACTCATACCGTTAATGCGAACTTCTTTTATTTTGATGTTCTTTAAAGAAGAAAAAGGATGGAGTGCGTCAGCGAAAACATACTATGAAATCTAAATCAAGTATTTTCACGAGATGATCAAAGTGTTGTAATTTATAGCATAATTTAGACGTGGACCGAAATGAAACGACAATAAAATGAATTCTGCGACATCTTCAACGATATGGATAACTAAGAAATTCTATGAAATTCAATAGTCAAGATTTATAAGAAATTTTCAAGTGCGTCATACATATGTTTGTGATTTAACCTCTTTCGCATTTGTATATATATATATATATATATATATATATTGTATATTGTATATTGTATATATATATATATATATATATATATGTATTTTATAACCAATTTAATACAATTTTAAAGAATATATTTCTCTCATTGTAAAAAATAGAAAAATCGAATTAGTTTACAATTACTTCTGAGTGAATAATACAATTTACTTGATTATGCAAATAACTGTAAGAAAATTTTCAAAATAATAGTTAATAATAGAAAATAACAGATAAATAATTCTAAAATAAATTTGGGAAAGTAATGAAAACAGTGGATAGGAATCATTAAAAATCATTTTTCTGTATACGAGAATGAATACTATATTTTCTTTGAATCGAACGCGTAGATACTTATTATACATACGTACATATAATTTACACAACACAAATTCGATATCAAAAAGATAGTTCATAATTTACAAAAAAGATCGAGGAAAAGTTTCACAATTTTCGCAATTTTCATAACATTGACAAAATATCACAAATCATAAATTATTCAATATTCTATAATATTGAATCTTCTTCAAGTATAAATATATAATTGTATAAATAAATAAATTTATAGTTTGCACGTAGTATTTAAATACAAATTATGAGATTCACTACTTTCGTTCGGCCAGTTTATATTTTTTTACACCGTTTAATATTTCTATCGATTTAATCGTAGGTTTATCTTTCAGTTTGATCAGCCTTAGTCTTTTTTTATCTTTTTCTCTGTCATCCAATTCATTTTTACTCACTCTTTTCAGTGAACGTATTCTACAATCAGAATTAGTATCTTTTGAAGTTGAAGGCATTTCGTTGTCAACCATCATTCTCTTTTTCTTTAATCGTAATGCGAATCGACGTATTTGATTTATCCTTTGCAGTTCCAAGTTTGATACATTCGCCATTGTTGTTCTGGATCTCTTCGATTCGAAATCATCAAGAAAACTTTTTGTTCTTTTCTTGTTATTCGAATTACTTTTTAAATCTTTGACATTTTTTTTAGTATTCTGCAAATATATTAAAGGAGAACCAGAATAGGAACTAAAAGGCGATCTAGAATGAGAACCAGGAGGAGAACTAGAAAAAGATTCTGATTCATCTACTTGTTCTTTTTGATCCCTGCACTTTTGAAGAAATTGATTTAGAGTCATCCCTCCAAAATTATCTTCTTTATTATTAAGAAAATTGTACACGTCGGGTCTATAGCGAACTCGAACCCATTTTTGCGAAGATTTATCCCAATATCCACGCACAATATCCATATCTTCAGGGAACTCTGATTTAACCTCTTTAAAAATAGATCTTTCTTCATGATCATTTTGGATTATAGAATATTCATCTGGTTTTATTAATTTATGTGGGCATTAATATTTAGGCAGAATAGAATTTAGAGGTTAATATTTTAATACCTTTTTCATTCCTGTTGCTCGTTTGCCTATATTTCTTTATTCGTGATTTTTGTGTGTTACTAGTTGGTACAAGATACCTGCTGATATTTTTACAATTATTTTTAACAAATTCATCCCAGAGAATATCACTTGATGTTGTTGGAGCTGATACATTGCTCAACCACTGCTTGCATTTTTCGATTCTTATATCATTTTTGTTCTTTGCCCTGTTTCCGAGACCTAGATACGTATTAACTATATTTTCTTTTCCTAAAAAACGTTATAATATACCATTAATACACATATCTTAGGAGAAACAGTTGTTTTCTTAAATAATTGGGGAGCTTTTAAGTTTAATCAAGTGCAGGTCTTTTATTAAATAGTTGAATTGTTACTTATCAATTTTTCTTTAATTTATAAACATTAAAGGAATGAAGTTCTTTAAATTATAAGTATCAATTTATACATATGAAACTTCTAGTGCAATTTACTCAATTTACTATTTTTTTTTATTAACTCTTTTCCTAGAAAGTTTCCCAACTTTAATATTACTAGACTCTGGTATTATCAAATGAAACATATCAATAGTTGATAAAAGATTCTTATGGGCCCTTTTTCCAAAAAGCTTCCCAATTTTTACATTAGTAAATTCTAATATTAAATAAAAGATATCAATATTAATATAAAATAATTACTTAGACATAATGCATCCTCCTCGTCATCAGAATCATCGAATAGACGAGAAAAAGGTAAATCTTTCACAGGAAGTTTACCTTCATTCTCTTTAAAATCAAGTCTTTCTGGACTTTCGATATCCCATGCACGCGGTAGCAAAATCGGTGACTGTAAACGATCTTCGACAAAACAAGGAGCTTCCCGAATCCTTTCTGGTGATCTTAAGTCTTTAAACAAGACACTACTGTCAGATTCAGAAGTAGCTTTTTGGGAAAATTTCTCTGTTGATTTGTTAATTGGAGGTAGACGGGAATCTTCGTTACACGTTTCCCAATCTGTATTAAGATCTACCTTTACAATCGATTTCTTCGTTTTGCATTTCTTTTTTCTTGTTTCTTTCTTCTTTTCTTTCCCACGATTACCTCTCACAGTTCCTTTTAATTTCGATATCTTTTGCTGTAATTTCCTTTTTTTCCTCTTTTGCTTGCCATCGGAAATTCTAACTAAAATTTGGTTTTTACTTTGTTCTTTTGCCGAGGAAGGATTGGAATCAACTCCAGATATGCTTATGCTACTTGGCCGCTTAGGTTTCCCTTTTAATGGTGTACTACAAAAATTCGAACTTCTTTTGCAGGTACTTACAGTGTGTCTTCTTTGTGGCTTCTCAGACGAAGAAGACATTTTATTTCTTTTATGTTTATGATGATATATCGTTTGATATGTTGAATATTTGATTCATGAGTATATCACTTATTTCGTTTGAACAGAGCTCATTGATAGCTTCCGATATCACCCGGAAGTGTTGCTATAGCTTTGCAGAGAGGGTTGTATATGAGATACCTGTGTGATTCACCTTCGAAGGGGTTCTCTGATATCGTGTTTCTTCTTCCGTTTTATTTGCACGAGAATAAAGGATTCTTGTTGTCGTGCTTTTAAAGAGGCGAGAAAACAATTAGATATTTGAATATCTCAATTAGTTAATTTTTAGGCTTTCTTGAAAATTTTAATGGAGTATTTAAGGTACTTTGAATCTTGTTTAAATTTTGTGATTTCATTGAAAGTTTGATAATTCAGTGATTTCTAATTATGTGATTTGACACAAAACAAAGTTTGTTAATATGGTGAGTTCTGTAATCAAAGATCACTGTATTCTGTGATTTCCCAAAAATTAAAGATTTCCGAATTTGATGATTCTCTACAAACGAAACTTACCAAACTTACAGACTGTCACAACTCAAAATGGTCGTATTTTATAATTCTTCACTGCACAAAATTAATATTATATTCAGTGGTTGTTCGGAGTTCATGATTTTTAAATTTGATTTCTTCGCTATCCAAAATTTCAAAATTTCGCAATTTTCACAATTCAATATTTCCGTGTTTATTAATCTCCTGCAAATGAAGATTTGTATATTCGTTAAACTTTTTCAAGTATGATACTTTACCAAATTTCAAAAACTAAAATTTTACTATCTAACAGTAAAAAACACAAACGTTACAAAATTTGCGCTTTTAGAGTCGTGAATGCTAATTGTTTCCGGCCTTAATGTCTGCAAACGACTGGGGACTATTACCAGTGTAAAGTCTTTCAAATTTGACCTGTAAATATGTATTAGATATAAGAAACGTATAGGAAACTGTTTCTGTATTTAAGTATGACAGAGTTAAATGATTATGTTTGAAATAGAACACTTATTTTTATGACTGTGAATAACGTATTTACTTTTTACCTGGGAAATGCTAAGAGACAATGTTTATGTATAAATTACTAAAGAAGAGCGATAACTAAAATATTCGCGTGGATATGTGACAATTTTCGCGATTTTCAGAATGATTCATCGCGGATAAACTGTTCGCAAGATTATTGCAGAAATTCTTCGGAGGTTAATCTATCGATGCATCGAATTGATATGGTCCAACTTCCGTGGAAGGAAAATTCGCAATACGTGAAAGTAATATGAATGAAATCTGGGGAAAAAATTAAATTAGAAAATTTTTTAGATGAAACTATTATAAGTTCATTATTGATTTCATCTTTGAAATTTAAGCTTATATAAAAAATAAGTCTTCTAACTTCAGTGACATGATTTGTAGCAAATTTTTTGATTATTGAGAACAAAATTTAATAATATTGTCCTGTAAAATTCAAACTTTAAGTAAACAATCTTCATATCGTATACAAGAATAATATGTATTATAAACAATAAAATTGTAGAAGCGCTGAATCCTGCAAAGTTGTGATACATAGTGTTATTAATTTGTCAGTATAAGTCACGGCTTGTAAAAAAGTACTTGTTAAGTCGCTGAATCCTGAAAAATTGATAAATATTATGTTATTAATTTGCCAATATAAGTCATTGATTTGTACAGTATAACATAACCTTATTTAATTGTTCTTAAGCATTTTTAATTTAAATAATATCCTCCAAAATGGAACTGGCGAAGGATAATTCCCCAGAGCACCCCTCGTGACACTATTTCGCTATATCCTACATACGTCCCTGGTCTCTGAAGGTACCTATACTAGCCGAGCTACCCAGCACACCGTCAGTGCACGCTGGCTCACCGCGCCAGTAGGACTACTCTATTCTTCTCCTTAAGCTCCAATCTGACAGCTATAAAACCTCTCCTCTAATATTCGTCACCATTTTGCTCCACACTAATCGTCCTTCTCTACAAAACATTCTCTTATAATACAATCTCATCCATATACATCTTCAAATCGACAGTCACATAAGATCGATAGTCGCGCGTATCGTGAACTCGAACTTGAAATCGAAATCGATATCGTATAGGTTAACAGTAGTAGATCGAAGGGTTTTCACACGATCAGGATGCCGGCAGACGCTGAGCTCAGTAATCTGCTTAGCAGGAGGCAAAGGATCAACGAGGAGCTGGAGGAAGGAAAAGAAGTGAAAAAGCAATACAAATTCGTGAACGTTTACACGGAGTTCCACGAGCTGTCCCGTCGCGAGATCAAGCAGTATGAGCAGACCTTCAACAGGTGAGGACCTTCCCCATTTCTTTCTTCTCCTTTACCGCTTATGATTTTTACTGGGAATTCGTGAATAGAAAACGCCGGAAAAATTTTGTCGTACATTGTTAGTTTGAATGGAGGTTCTTGGAATGAACGCCTGGACTTAAATATTTCCCTTAGTAAAGGTCCTATTTCCATGGTATTTCTTTGTCCGTAGAAAAGTTTGAATAGCATTGTTCGATCTGTCGGTTAGTAATGTAAAGCCTGCTGCTATAGCTATTCATCTATGTTAGGCATATTTTATTTTATAATTTAATATGTAATTATAATATATAATATAAAATTAAATATATAATTCTATCAGGAGTTTTATCGTGAAGTTATCGTATCATATATAACTCATTTTATTTTATTATTAGGAAATGATACTCATTTTATCAATTTAAAATTAAATCAATATTCAGTAGGAAGAAGAAGAATTTTGTAAAAAGTTTTAAAAACATTCGTAATAATTTTCTTATTAAATTTTGTTAATTTACCAACTGAAAAACGAATTATTATATCGAATATAATACAGCTAATAAGAATGAAGAAATTGGTATAAAGAATTTCAAATTAATAGTATTCTCGTAAAGACCGGTGTAAAGATATATCGATTAGAAGATTGCATGTAAGAATATCGATTAAAGTTACTAGAATTGACAATTACGATAAATAGTTTATTTTCTTCCGCCATATTCGATTTCCTATTGTTTGAATCTTTTGAATCAATAATCGATACCTTTAATCGAATAGATTAGTATCGAAATAAAGCTTTATTATCAAGTGAACAATTTGTCAGACGTATTTGTTCTTTACCAAAAATTCTTTCGTTGTTTTTCGCTGCGAACAAGGAATCGCGAGATAAAACGCAAGGAAATCGAGAGTGAATCGCGGCTCCTGTCGCGTTCGCTGCGGTTTTCCTACTTGTTTACGTTTACTTGCTCGAGTTTACGTTTCTCCCCACGAACAGATCATGTTCCACTGGTCAGATACTTTTTATACGTGTGAGAATACACGAAATAACACTGGGGATTGGTTGAAATGTAATACCTCTTATTTTATTACTTGTGCTGTTCCGGTCTTAGATGTAACTAATTGTTAAAGTACTATCCTATTTATTAAATCCAACATATGACTTATGTTTAGCCTATTCTACAATATGCCTATTTGTTTAAATTTTGAAGAAAATTTTTAAGTGAGTTAGATATTTTACTTCGACGAATACTTAAGTCTTGTAAGTAGAATTTTTGTATGTTTATAAAAGAGCAAGATTCTAGTAGACCACGGTTTATTAGTCTAACCTAAAATCTAGGAATTTAGTTGGTACCCGTATATCAGTATACTGGGAAGCAAGTGGAATAAAATTTAAGAAGCACAGATATATATAACTGTGAAATTACATAGTGTTGTAAATGAATCAAGAGTCTAGTAAGATTGAAGATTTTGAATATTTTGGATATTCTGATCGACTTGAAATATTTGAATTTTTTTGAAAATGGAGTAAGATCTAACGTAGGATAACGTTCACAAAATGCAGATGTTCATGATTTTCACGACACGTGACACTATAAAAATTTTACGATTAAAAACTCAAAAAATCAATAATCACATATCTTATGAACATTGAAGTCTACGAAGTCGACACACGTGCTATTAAAAACACGATCGAAAGTCGAAAAAGCCATAAATATGTGACCTAATAATCATCATAGAAGTTTTGAAATCTAACGCTATTAGTGATTTCGAGAAACATCCCAAGACGACTGGAACATCCCCGGACGATTGCTTATCCAGAAATAAACTGGAACCTACGCGCAAGCGTGTCCAGAAAGTTTCTACGGTCACCTTGCCAGATTCTCGCAAACGTGGAAAGAGGAAGAAAATGGAAAAGTCACGCGAGCATCGTTACGAAACCGCAGATGGTAGAATTGATGACGTAGTTATTTTGTAGCATGCCAGAGGAAAGAGTGTTCACTGTGAACGCGTGTATAGCCCGTGTTGGAGGCCAGGACAGACGACCTCGAGGTCTGTCCTCCATCTCTCTTGTTCTTCTTGTAGGTATTTCGGAGTCAACCGGACAGCAGGTTTGACAAGGCAGAAGCAGGGTGGACGGCCGGCCACTTGTGCTGCATCTTCCAAACCTGTGTGAACGCTTATTTCGTTATCTAACTATACGGCAAATATATATAGAAATTTTAGCTGTATCTGCAATTCGATTAGTATTCCTGGCATTTCTTCGCGATCATTTGCATTAAATCAGGCAAGAAGGAATTTCTTCTTATTTTTGTTATAAGAATGAACGTTAATACTATTAAACTGTTAATTGAAAGTATGAGATAATTTGTCAGTAGAATTATATTATATCTTAAAGAAGGTTTGGATTATGTTTGTGCACGTGGAACTTAGTTCCATTCTCTTCCGAGAAAGAATTTTAATAGGTAGGCGTGTATTTCTAACACTCATTAATTGCCATCACTTTTCAGTGCATAAATTATTTGAAACGAAATTGTGAGTGAAAAAATTGTACAAGTTCCATTTCAAGAATTTTTGAATTCTATTATAGAACTGATCATTTTCTGAATTAATTAATCTTTCAGACATCCTTTAGTTCCACTAGACAATTTTTCAATGCATAAATTGTTCTAAAAAAGAATACCGTAACATGTAACTGTTACTGTAGAATGTTCTTTCAAAACATGTTTCTTGGACCGTAGAACCGATAATTCTTCTAGATCTAAACAACCAAATTAATTAAATCAATACGAAAGTGCACTAAATCATCCAATAACGACCAGAAAGATCAAGGCACATTTTTCTTAAGAAAACCACGGATAAATTATTTATACGAGTGAACGAAAGGAGGTAGCTTGATAAATCTGGGAAAGTTTCACCGCAAAACCAAGCACGTGGACAAAGTACATATCGTGCACGATGGATGATACCTTAGCTGGAAAGACACTTGGTACACTGTCCAACGAGTTCTTCTTGTTAGAGAAATCAGTTATCCACTTTTCTGTGGATAGTCATTCAGTGTCTCATTACAGTTCTAATGAAATTTCAAAATATTTTACATTGCACGTACAATATGTAGGCAAAAGTTTTCAATGGTAAGTGTTCAAACGTTTTTGTGAGCCAGTGCATTTGCTAAATGAATTGTGCAACAGATCTCCATGTTTAATTAACATGTATTATTACTTATTTTTCAATAATAGATGCTGACTTCCATCTATATATACGTACAGTATATGATTACCTTGTTTCTCTTATGATAATTTTGAAAGATGTTCTTGATTTTATAAAGGAAAAATAATTGGTGCGACTACGTATCTCTCTTTCTCTTGATGGTATATGCGACACTCAACGTGTTAAAGTCACTTTATGATCATAATGTCACAGGTCGTTCAACTCCTTTTGATATTGCGTTGGATAATTTCATTATTTGTTGTTTAGTTACTCTTTTATATATATGTATTGCTTATTGCTTAATTATAAAAAACTGATACGTCAATGTAAAGAAGTCATGTTGTAGCGATCTTTAATATAACTTTGAAGTAATTGATTTTTGAAACAATATGAAAATCACTGTTACTTTTAATTAAGAATCAAAATTGGTATCGATATTCGTTATAGATATTATTTCAAATATTTCATTGATCAAAAAATGCAAACATAAACGTTTGAATACTTTCTGGCTCATTGTCTATGTGACACGTGTAGTAAACAAGGTATTACGTATCTGTTATACATTATACAGAAACTTTAATAGCCGCTCCTATTGTGTTTCGATTATCTTAGACATAAAATATTTGGACAGATAGTAAATATTTCAATATTTTTCCAGAAATAAGCGTGATAAGTAATGTTCCGAAAGAAAGCCAATTCAATCCGAAAATTTGCTAAAGATAATTCATTTAAGGAAAAAGGGCATCGTCTACAGGGAAAGAGATACGTTTATCGCAAACTAATCTGGAATTTTTGGTATCGTTAAAATTTCAACGTTTCTCTCGATAACATTCGTTGATAAAAAAGCTTCAGTGTACCGAGAAAGAAAGGGAAGAAATTTATCACAACACGTTTGTGAAAAGAAATCGATAAGAAATTTATTAATCGAGTCGAGGAAGTATTCAACAAAATGTGAAAGGAAACTCGACGAAATGAGAAAAATGTCAGAATATGTAAAAACATAATTAAAAATTCTTAAAGTTTTATAGAATTAATTTAAGAAACTAAGATAAGTATCGTCTAATATTTTTAATCTACGACATGCCTTAAATTTCATAAATAAATATTAGAAATCTTTCAGAACTTTAAATTACGTTTTTATACATATATTTTTAGAAACAATAAAATATTAATCCATTTTTGGAATAATGCAGACTGGAATTAGACTGCGGCTATTTATTAAAAGTTATATTTCTATGAATATAATCAAAAAACTGGAATTCTGGTAAAAAATTACCATATTATATATAATAACGACTGCTATATTTCGGATATTTTATATACTTCTCCATATTATGTGTATTATTTAAATATTCAGATATTCAAATATTCCATAAATGCATAAAAATCTTTAATCCAATATTAAACTGATTATCATGCGTTTCTTTGAAAATGTTGTTCTAATCCTATGTATTTTATGTTTGGAAGAATTCGAGTCGTCAAGGCGATGTAAGCACTGCTCACCTTACCATCCCACACATGGATGCAATTTAATCTCATAACCGTAAATATTCTTAAAAGAAGTAGCAATCGTAAACTGCTTAATAGCCACTCCAACTACTTAAGAAGGTAATATTATGGCAACTTTTTGTCTTAAAATTAGTTAGGTGATGACGTCAAATACGTGTATTAAAAGCATTGAAGAATGTTTTTCTTCTCCTTTTTTTTCTCTCAGTTTTAAATAGCGTTAGATGGTCGAAAGTAATTAAAAAATCACGTATACAAGTAAGTTTATGACTCATTAAAGTGTCAGTGGTAAACAGTGATAGTTATACATATAGACATTTGTTGGGTCTGATTCATTAAGAGAATGCAGATGATAATTTTATCTTACAGTTAAATTGTCAACGAAGAGTAGCTGTTATATGATACGGTAAATCTGCGTATGTTCATTATGCAGATATAAATGTGTATCATATACACTGATTCATAAAAGTATTTGCGTAGTACATACCTCAGAGAAATTGTGGATATAGTAAACAACGGTTATAAAAAATATTGGCACGAACCTTTGTTGTCTAATCAAGCGTTTCTTTTATTAGGTTTTATACATGTATGTATTTCATTTTCATAATGTCAAATTTTTATAGTCATATTAGTATATATATTTTTATAGTCATATTAGAGAGTATTACTAAGTGATCAAAAATTCAATATATGTACTTAAATTAATTAGCTTAATTGGCTTAATTAATTAGCATGTAAATGCTATAATTAGGCTGCGAATTTGTACGTAAATTTATATTTTTCTAAACGCAAATAAGAAATGAAACCCAAGCAGAGATCTCGTTTATCCCAAAAATGTAACAACAAGTACCTTACTTTAGATATTTCATATGTTTTTGCGTATTATGTACATTTTGTACATTTTTGCACTTTTAAATCCCCCATGAATGCATAATCCGCATGATAAATATAACAGTGTGTTAACACTTTTTGTAGCCACTGTATGCATTATACAAAAGCTTTTTAAACTTCATTAGTACTAAAGTGGAAAACGAATATTACAATTATGTCGTACAATTGTTTGGTGAATGTTCCAAGTATTTTACGTGTATCAAGAGAGGACCGATTTTTAGTTTAGTTTATTTAATCATTTTGTTTATAATATTGCAGCTGTCGTATTACGTGGAACGAACGACTTTGTTTTAGAGCTGACCGCAGGGTAAAGGGTTAGAAATGAAACTTTTACGCGTAGAAAACCGAAAAAATCTGTTCAAACCGCAATCGAGCTGGATAAGAGGCAGCACCGCGGTTTCTTTGTCGCGTAAAAGTAAAAGGTCAGTCGGTATCGGCGAATTTCACAACGCGATTTCTAGCTGTTTTAGATAGCGTTACACAAAACCATTCTATCCACTTGGGTATAATTTTACATCTGTCAGTCTAACTATTTCTAACGACGAAAATTTCACAAAAGGGTATCTTTTCCGAGATACGTATCGTCATAAATTTTAACGAGTCTGCTGGGCTAATCGTGTCTTCCAAGTAAGATCTGAGTGATTTTAAATGTACGTTAATGTGAATGAAAATTAGAGAGTTCGTAAATAAATATTAATAGCTAATAATAGTCATTGATAGTTGAAAGACTCTAGGGCATCTTTTTGTTTCCCATTTTTATTACTCCGATACTACGAGCATTCGTTCTTAATTGCAATATTACATACGGAAAATGATTAAAAAATATGAATTTAGCGATGATTAAATAAAGTTATGAATTTCGCTATGAATGGTGATTAAAAATAGCATAGTAAATTCCATAATTCAGTGAAGCACTCGTTGACAATAAGCAGCATTCGCTCTTGATTACAATATCGTAGATGGAAAATGATTGAAAAAGATTAACTTAATGGCGAATAATTGCATTGAACGTAGAGTAAATTCCATTTAGTGAATTTACAATTATACACTTTAATGAATTTTAATCATTTTAATTACTGAAGAACTAATCTTCTGGTCGTGAATATTTATAATATTGTGAAAGTTACCTTTCTAACCCAGAAAATGTATTATTTTTTATTTTATTTCAAGGCTCGTACTAATTTGAAAGTAGAGTGGGGTGAGACGACTATAGAAACCGGAAGTGGTGTGTAGATAAAAGCAACCTACATTGCTGCATCCAACAGCAAATGACAAACTTCTACATTTACTATCAAATGTCAGCGAACCTGTATATCAAAGCACGGTACAAAAGAGAGATATATATTTATAAAGTTAGTCAACCGTATTAAGTACATATTTAGTCGGTTATCGGTACATTGGTTTTTCCAACACTCTGTCGTTGTCTTCTTATTATTTCCTGCTTGATACCTGGGAAAAAATTTCTTTCACCATGTTGCTACATCCTATTTTCTCTGGCTAGTGGATTCATTTTCATAATAGGTACGTATAGAGACTCACGAAGATATCCGAACACTTTCATATACCTTTTATGAATATATAATATTTTAGTATTCGAATAGGTTTAGAAATTCTATAAATAGATCTACAAAGATTTTGTAACATATATTATACAATACTGTTATAATTATTATATACATTAGCTTATAGAAATTCTATAATAGATTGTTCAGGTATGTAACATTTTGAAATTTAATTAACACTGTTATGAGACTGTACTGTTAGGATGATACTGATAATGATTGGAGGAAATCTGGAAATATATGAAAGTATATAATAAATGAAAAAATATCTAGTACAAGTACCTATACGCGTATTTCACAGAGATCAAAAAGTTATTTAAGCAGTCAGTTACCCATTATATATTAGCCATTTGTATCACTTACTATATGCTTCATACAACTACTCTCCAATGCTATTAATTCCTTCCTGTAATGCTATCTTTTTTCCCCTTCGCGATCGTTCCAAGGGAAGTCCTAATGTATTCAGGCGTAAGATCGATATAGCAATTGCTACGTAATCAATCATTCCCACGTAGAAAATATAAATTATAGCAGCGTCCACTGGTCACATATTGCTCATGATATTATTGTATATTAGCGTCATGAAACAATGATACAACATATCAGAATAAATTATACTTCCGCCTTTAGATTATGATCATCGTGACTGGTTGTGTGGTTGTATGGCAGCTGATTAATGTCGTGCCTCTAATACATCATTATTTATCATTTATAATATTTGGTTTGGTCTATTTTATAGCGGCTCGTTTCTGTCGAATCAACGACGTCCTTTCGTCTTAAGAAAATCATTAGCTGACAAATTAAAGAAATTTGTTAACGATAGAAAAAGAGAGATTTGGTTGAAAGCGGCTCAAAGGATGCAGATGGATTAAAATATCGCGTCCTCTAGCCAAAGGAAAGCCCCTATAATAATTTCGCATGCAGAAAGGCTAATAAATCGATGATCTAACGAGTGAGTGGCGTGCTAAAGTAGTTGAAACTGTACGTAATAAATTACAGATTGCCAAGCAAACACTCGGGAGCCGTGCAAGAGACGCTGAAGGTCTATTGGATGTTCGTTGCCACTAAATTACACGCGTCCGAGGTAGAAATTCTGGCTGCGTACGATATGACGATCGTGTGTACAGCTGTACTCGTGAACATCGGTATAAAACATGATATAACGTATTCGTTACATTGTCACAACCTGTGCGTGCATACGGTACACGTGGGAATTATTTTTCATGGGTGACACGTTCGAATGTCTGGCCTTTTCCAAATTTCATATGCGACAGAGGGTTCGGCCGCGCGGTACCGGAAGTCATCAGACTGCGCGCGCGATGAATTCGTTCCCGTGACTAACCGTAGGTACACGTAACGCTTTGATTCACACGCGTCTATATACATAGACTATCTAATGTAAATATAAAACTTACAACGAGTGTAGTGATTCACTCGTCACGTTGCAAACGCTCGTTGTTAATACCACCGATAAATTTCCAAATGAAACGTGTGATTGAATTGAACACGGTGTAACATTACACCGGCACAATTGAATAGCCGCTCTCGATTCTGAAACGCGAATGAAAGTTATCAACGAGACCTGATTTCTTTCTCTGCGTATGCAGAGGAATCTTGAGAAATTGTTTGTTTTGTTTCCAGGATGTATCAATAGGATTAGTAATTTATTGGTATTTCCATTTTGAAGCTTTAATGGTACAATTGATTAGCAATTGGCAGAACTCTAGCATTCGCTTTTACAATATTCTCTTATGAAACGTGGAGCTTTCTGAGAAAAGAGAAGAATCGTGTTTGTAAATTTTGTTTATGCGATAGTCTCTTTCCAAATCGATGAATCAGTGTTTCTTGTTAAAAAAGTAAAGTCAAATAAAGTTAAGTAAAAGTAAAGTTAACAAATTAAAGAAC